GGGGAGACGGGGAGGAGGAGAAGGAAGGGTGGGATGACCTGCCCCAGCGCCAGGCGTGGAGCGGATGCCCCTGGCCAAAGCCCCAGAGCAGACGGTGGTAGCAGGGGCCCGTGCCCCCGGCACTCCTGGAGCCCTGCTCTCCCCGCGCCGTGGCCGCCAGCACGCTGCAGGACTGGCAGAGACCGAGCAGCAGGAGAAACTCATGTTTACAGGAGCACGAGGGCTGTGTTGTGGTTTTATTTTGGGTTTTTTTTTTTTTTATTTGACCATCAGCAGCATGAGGAAGAAGAAGAAGAAACCCACCCCGCTTCCACTTTAATTTGTAACCAGAAGCCGCGGGATACGGTCAGTTTGTCTGATGGCATCTCGCCACCCTGGGAAGCCAGAGCCGCTGTGGGGGTCCTGCTGCCCCCTTTGACTTGCAGCAGGGTCAGGCAGGGTGCAGGGGACCCCGGTCCCCAAATGCCTCCAGGCACTGCAGCATCCCTCCTTCTACTCACAAGTGGGGTCTGTCCTAATTCGGGGAGCGGGAGGGGACAGGAGCCCTCTCCTCCCTGCTTCTTAACTTTTCATTTTCATTTAAAAAGAAAACTTAAAAAAAAAAAAATCACTCCCAAACCCACCCCCCAACCTGCCACACCAGAAACCAACCCCAGGCCCTTGGCTTGGGATTTTAGCCTGGAAGGCTCCATTGTAATAAATGGTATTTTGAAAGCCCGGCGTGGTCCCTGTGTGTTTGGGAGACAGCGGCTGGACACGGGGCAGCCTTGTGCCCTGCTTGGGGTGACACCTGCACCCCCCTGCCAGCGCTCCCGGGGTGGACAGGGGCAGCAGAGAAGCGTTGCAGGATCCAGCCATCAAATAAACCCTGTACGCTGAGAGGTGGCTTCACCGTCGGACTAACTTTGCGTGTCCCACCCGTGTCCTTGCAGGCGCACAAACCCAGCGGGTACGTGGCAGGAGAAGGCAGCGCAGGGCTGGGGCAGAGCTGCCTGTCCCAGGGGGTTTACAGGACTGTCAGGCAGGGAGAGACCCAAACCTCTGCTCACCCTCCCCAGCCGGGAAGGGGAAAGCTCCTCTGAGCCCGT